CCTATCGTTGGAGCATATGCGGTAAAGTTAGAGCATATGCCCTATCGTTAGGGCATATGCCCTATCATCGGAGCATATGCGTAAATGTTACAGCATAGGCAAATTGTTGCCGCTTATGTATTCATATTAGAGCATATGTAATTTCGTATTTATATGCCTGGTAGTAATTGAATTGTAAATTAGCGACGGGCCGGCTGATATAAAAATCTGCATCAAACACCGGAAAGATTTCAACCTCATGTCATCCCGCGGAAATTAGAAGATCAAGAAACACTTTTTTTACCGCTTTCCGTCCATTGTTAGGGAGTAAATTTGTGAACAACCATAATATTGGTGAAATTCATACTTTACCCCATACTTTGGCACAATTTTCCGAGGGAACTAGCGCATCAAACAGCAAACAACCAAACGCTCAATAATATATACCCTTTAGCGATGCGCGCGGCTACGCGGTGAGTCTCCCGGCACTCGGTGTAGACTGTAAACCTCGGACTGGCTCAGCAGTTGGCCAGCCGTCGCTGTAATCATTGAATCTTTGATTTTTCGGCATCATGCCAAAAATTGCAAAATCTAACACCCAGAAAGCTGCAGATTTGGTGAAGGAATTTGAGTGCTTCATTGTAAAAGAAGATAAATTAACTTGCAAATACTGCAACAAACAGGTATTATTAATAGATGTTTTTATATAAAACCGTATTATTAATACATTGTTATCTGGTATATCATAAAGCTTTTATACACAATGATAAAATTTTCTGATTATTTTCATCTTAAAGATTACTTAGATGTGTTAATACATAAGCACTTAAATGAATATATTATGCAATAATAGTGTAGAATCGGATTCGTTAAAATGTTTTTGTCCCATAACTACTATTTTTAGGCTCAAACTTATTGGGAAATCATTATTAGATTTGAAACTCTCATTTGATACGTAAAGTAATAAATATTTTCTTAGATTCCAGTTTCAAGAAAGTTTTATGCAGTGCAGCATTTGAAAACCAACGCGCATGAAAAAAACAAAAACAAGATCACCGAAGAAGCTGGTGCTGGTGCTGAAGCTGGCCAATCCACCTCCAATAATAATGACTAAACAAAAATAAATTTAACAGTGATCTTTGCTATGCTATGTTGTCTGCAGACATTCCACTAAACAAGTTGAGTAACACCATATTTAAACATTTCTTATCAACCTATACTGGGCACAACATACCTAACCAAACAACTTTAAGAAAATATTATGTCTCTTCCTTGTGCGACAAAACCATCGCAATACTGAGACAAAAAGCTGCTGGTCGGAAGATCTGGGTGTCGTTGGATGAGACCACCGATGTTGAGCAAAGGTATATCGTATGCTTTATTTTCGGTATCCTAGGCGATGAAACCGAAGTAGGTAAATCGTACCTTGGGAATGTTTCCATTCTAGAAAAGGTTAATCATTCAACAGTGGCAGCTTTTTTCAACGATTCTTTAATAAAAATATGGCCGGAGCACATTCTGTATGAAAACGTTATGCTGGTAGTCACTGATGCTGCAGCTTATATGTGCAAAGCGATGAGAGCATTACAAGTTTTGTACAGCAATATGATCCATGTAACTTGCTTGGCTCATGGGTTGCATCGAGTTGCTGAGTTAGTTCGTTCAAATTACCCTTTAGTCAATAAGTTCATTTCATCAGTCAAAAGCATATTTGTTAAAGCACCGTCCAGATTGCGGAAATTCCAAGAACTGGCTCCTGGTGTACCTCTTCCTCCATCACCCGTAATAACAAGATGGGGAACATGGATCGAGGCTATCAGTTATTTTAACAGATATTACGATAATGTATCGGAAGTAATAATGTCACTTGATACTTCAGAGTCTGTGCAAATAGCAGAAAGCCAGGAGCTGCTGGACAATATCGAATTGAAAACTAGCTTGTGTTTCATTGCCACTTCTTTTGAGGGTCTCTGTAGTGCACTCAAAAAGTTAGAAACAAAAGGTCTGACTCTGTCTGCTTCAATAAATTTAATTGATGATGTCCAGAAAGATTTAAATAGGCTGTATGATAAAGCTTATATTGAAAAACTTTCTAATGTTTTGAAAAAATATTCTGGCTTCAGTTCATTGAAGGATATAGAGTCCGTCTTATCAGGTAAGACCCGGGTCTTACCGGATCCCATTGCCAGATTCACAGATGTCATTTCATATTTTAAATACGCTCCTGTTGTTTCATGTGATGTAGAAAGATTTTTCTCACAGTATAAAACTGTTCTGGCCGATAATAGGCGGCGATTTGATTTTGAAAATTTGAAGTGTCACCTAATTGTGAAATGTAATTCTCTTGTGTGAAAATGCTCACATAATTATTTGTTAATTTGACGGTTGCGGGTATTTTGTTGTTTACTTTAGTTTATTTATTGAAAAATGTACTATTACACTGTTGGTGACCACTTGTTTCATTTTCTAACCTAATCCCACTACCAAAACATCTCAATAATATCAGATTTTGAAATTGGCTTATGGTGCATTAACTGCATATTTTATGGAATAAACGCATACTTTTAGTGCATAAACGCATACTTTTAATGCATAACAGCATATTTTTACAGCATAAATTGCATATTTTTTAGCGCATATAATGCATATTCGTTAGAGCATATTGTCACAACCCTACTTATAACCCATCCATTGTATGCCTTCAAGAGACCTTTCTTACACATCCTCCAATACCAATCCCCAATTACCATTTTGTCTCTTCCCCACACTCCCTTTATGTCTCGTCCATACTTATCAACCAGAAAACACCTTATGTCATACCTCCCTTTCAAACCATGATGCGAATAACTGTCTACTTCTCCCCTTCCCACACCATTGACTGTTACCTTTGAAACTCTAATTTTCCAACTCTAAATCACAAGCTATAAGGAAAGGTGGTTGAACTGCTGACACTCTTTGGGGTGATTTTATCACCAACTCCCGTGGCCGATCTCCAGAGCGCTTATTATCTTAATTCAGATCACCCCACACTTTGATATACGCACCCAATCTTTTTATGCATTGACCTCTTTCCATGTTCCCCTTCTCTTCATTTAGATTTCCAATGATCAGTACTAGACAACTTTACCTATAGTGACCACTTTCCAGTTCTTTCTTCTACTTCATATGTACCACTGCCCGATGCTCTGATAGAGCCGACTAGCGTACTTTCACTTCACACACTGCTATTCCTACTCCTCTATCTTCTTTCTTGTTCATTTCAGATGTTATACAATGTTTCACAACTACAGTCCTAAGAGCTGCCCATACAGCTACTCCTTAAGCCTCAAGACCCTATACCTCCAAATATGTTCTATGGTGGAATTCCGACTGCACTAAAGCGCTTTGCTTAAAACGTGCAGCTTGGAACAGTTATAGCTATAAACGAGGCACCCCTAATCAACTATCAGCCCTTATCTCCTTTAAAAGAGCATCTGCCTGTCTTCGTTGTACAATCCGGAACAGTAAAACAAATAGCTGGCAAAATTATTTCTTCAATTACATCTTCCACATCTATCACATCTGTTTGGCGCCAGATCCATAAACTATCAGGCAAACATCCCCCCATCCAGCTCCCGTCCTCCATATTCGAGATACCCTCATCTCTGATCCTCTCCAAGTCGCTAATGAACTGGGTGATTATTTCAGCTAGGTCAGTAGTGGTTCTCACCTTTCTCCACACCTCACTTGTATTATGACCATCAGGGAACGTACCCCTTTTATCTTCACCCTATCCTCTGCTGAGTCATATAATGCTTCTTTTTCTTCCTCTGAACTCAATGCTGCCTTACAATCGTGCCGCAACAGTCATGAAGGCCCTGACGGTATTCACTACGGTATGCCCAGGCAACTCCCATCCTCCTCCCTATCCTTCCTATTAACAATTTTCAACCACGTATGGACCTCAGAAAATTTTCATTCTCATTGGCGAGAACCTTTTATCCTTCCCTTCCTGAAACCCAATAAATCAGGTACCCTTCCTTCGCTCTAACTAGCTGCTTGTGCAAACTACTAGAGTGAATGGTTAACTTCCGCTTAATGTGGTATGTTGAATATCACAATCTTATCTCTCCTTCCCAATTTAGCACAGCTGGCCCCCTTGTTCATTTTGAGACATTACATCTGCATTTGCATGCCATATTAAGCATATTCTTTGACCTAGAAGAAGCATATATATATATATACCTGATACGATACTACATGGCGGTACTATATTCTCCATCATACACGGAAACATGCATTTAGAGAGGAAAGACTTTCCAGGTCAAAATTGCCTCATCTACATCATCCTTTCCTCAATTCGAAGGAGTCTCACAAGGCAGTGTGCTCAGTACCCCTTTATTCCTTCTTGCTGTTAATGACATTGTCTCAATTCTACCACCAATAGCCCGGTCAACACTATTTGTTGAGGATTAAACCATTTACACCTCTAGCACATCTATACCAAATCTCTGCCAATTCCTTCAGTCTGCAATATCAGCAGTATCTTCCTGGGCCACAAACCATGGCTTCCGCTTTTCTACCTCCAAATCTTTCTCCATCCTTTTCTCTCACACACATGTAGGTCCCATACCTCCACTCATCGTATATGAATGGTTAATGGTTAAAAGCAAGATAAATGTGCTAGACATCTAAGGTCATGTAGCACTATAGTTAATGTTAGTGAAAGGTGGTTGAGTTAGTGATTAGTTGTCTAAGTTGGGTAAAGGAATTGGTGAATCAAAGGGTTAAGGTCGGGTGTTAGATTAGATAAAGGATATGTATGCGTTTCATCGTATATGAAACTCCACTCCAATACCGTCACTCTGGCAAATTCTTTGTATTGAAGGAAAACCTCGCTGCTGTCTCCAAACCTTACAAACTATCCCATATATCCTGGGGCTCAGATCGGAAAACTATCTTCTTGCTACCTTGACCCTCTTGCCTCAACCTCGCTCCTTGCCCATCTTGATACAATCCACCACTGTGGCCTTCGTTTAGCCCTAGGTGCCTTCTGCTCCTCTCCTCTCTGCCTTCAAGCCAGCCCAGTATGTTTTCTCATTACGAAAAGCAGATCCAATACTACAATTCATATCAATCAAATTAATGTAAATTAAGGGTAATATTTCCTGTAGCCAAGATTTTCATTATCAATTGGGAAAAAAATGATAATCCTGCAAGACATGAAAGGATATCAACGTCTTGTATATAAAATATTTAATAAAATTTGCTATAAAACAACATTAGGTTACAATGTACTCTACAAAAAAATATAAAAGCTTTCAAACAGATAAACTTTAAAATGAATATTTACGCTTTCTTCTACTGTGCTAAAAATGTTATTTTTTTTTTAGTCCTCTTCAAGGCAGACATTTTGAGACTTACATCTGCATTTGCATGCCATATTAAGCATATTCTTTGACCTAGAAGAAGCATATATATATATATATATATATATATATATATATATATATATATATATATATATATATATATATATATATATATATATATATATATATATATATATATATATATATATATATATATATATATATATATATATATATATATATATATATATATATATATATATATATATATATATATATATATATATATATATATATATATATATATATATATATATATATATATATATATATATATATATATATATATATATATATATATATATATATATATATATATATATATATATATATATATATATATATATATATATATATATATATATATATATATATATATATATATATATATATATATATATATATATATATATATATATATATATATATATATATATATATATATATATATATATATATATATATATATATATATATATATATATATATATATATATATATATATATATATATATATATATATATATATATATATATATATATATATATATATATATATATATATATATATATATATATATATATATATATATATATATATATATATATATATATATATATATATATATATATATATATATATATATATATATATATATATATATATATATATATATATATATATATATATATATATATATATATATATATATATATATATATATATATATATATATATATATATATATATATATATATATATATATATATATATATATATATATATATATATATATATATATATATATATATATATATATATATATATATATATATATATATATATATATATATATATATATATATATATATATATATATATATATATATATATATATATATATATATATATATATATATATATATATATATATATATATATATATATATATATATATATATATATATATATATATATATATATATATATATATATATATATATATATATATATATATATATATATATATATATATATATATATATATATATATATATATATATATATATATATATATATATATATATATATATATATATATATATATATATATATATATATATATATATATATATATATATATATATATATATATATATATATATATATATATATATATATATATATATATATATATATATATATATATATATATATATATATATATATATATATATATATATATATATATATATATATATATATATATATATATATATATATATATATATATATATATATATATATATATATATATATATATATATATATATATATATATATATATATATATATATATATATATATATATATATATATATATATATATATATATATATATATATATATATATATATATATATATATATATATATATATATATATATATATATATATATATATATATATATATATATATATATATATATATATATATATATATATATATATATATATATATATATATATATATATATATATATATATATATATATATATATATATATATATATATATATATATATATATATATATATATATATATATATATATATATATATATATATATATATATATATATATATATATATATATATATATATATATATATATATATATATATATATATATATATATATATATATATATATATATATATATATATATATATATATATATATATATATATATATATATATATATATATATATATATATATATATATATATATATATATATATATATATATATATATATATATATATATATATATATATATATATATATATATATATATATATATATATATATATATATATATATATATATATATATATATATATATATATATATATATATATATATATATATATATATATATATATATATATATATATATATATATATATATATATATATATATATATATATATATATATATATATATATATATATATATATATATATATATATATATATATATATATATATATATATATATATATATATATATATATATATATATATATATATATATATATATATATATATATATATATATATATATATATATATATATATATATATATATATATATATATATATATATATATATATATATATATATATATATATATATATATATATATATATATATATATATATATATATATATATATATATATATATATACGTTGTGGAACACTGTAGGTGTAGTAAGCCTTTGGTGTTATAGCAAATGGGTGTATATTCACAAAATGTAACAAGAATTTGTACTAAACTTACCCTAGAACCGTCTCGGAAACAAATACCGAAGGTGACAAAGCTATGCAGTGATTTTCATCCTCTCCATTCTCACACTCCCTCTTGCCATCACACACGAGTTCATCATCAATGCACGTCTGTGAGGACGAACTGTTGAAGACGATTTCGTTAATTTTACAGTGTTAGGAATATACTGGGGGTCAAATGAACACTATTATGCATCATTAAGTATCACGTATTTCTTTATTGACATCAAAATTCTAAAGAATTTGCATTCACTTGTAACATCGAAATTTTGAGGGTTCAGAGCAGCCACAGTATTTCTCATCTTCCTGGTCATTGCAGTCTATAATTCCATCACACACTTTCCTTCTGTCACCACGTCGCAGCCGCTGAACGAAGTAGAAATAGTGTAAATATTTTTTTCTGGGTTTAGCTAGGCATCTATTTTTGAATAACAAATTAAATCAGTATCATTATGAATAGTATCAGTGTCGTTCTGAACACTACCAATGACTTGAAATCCATTCTCGTAATATATACCTCAATGCATGTGCAGTTCACTTCATCAGAACCGTCAAGACAGTGTGAGATGCCATCACACACTTTGTCGAAAGGAACGCAAACCTTGTCAGGACACTGCATCATTCCATCTTCACAAACTGTCAATGTAAGGGAAAATGTTAAATCGGTTGATGATATTGATTTAGGCATTTGGCAAGCTCTTCTGAAGTAGAGATACAGGCAGATGATCCACTGCAGATTAATTTAATGTTGAAAAACTGTGTGGGAAAACATCTTGGGCCCCCAAAACACAGAATCAGGTCACTAAGAGCTCCTACCACAAGTTTGCATTTCGTTGTTAGGGGTACAGAGAGAGAGATGTGCAGGGCAGGTTGGAAGCTCGTCAGCAAGGTCAGGGCAGTCTAGCTTCATATCACACATCATCTCCTGTCCAATACAGACACCCGTTGGACATGTGTCACTCTCACAGAGGTCTGGTACTTTTGGTATACTCACGTCCGGGGTGGCTGAAATGTAAACGCGGGTATAAGCGTATTTCTAAAATTGGAAAAATCCGAAATAAATAATACAAACATGAATTTTAATTAGTTTTCTATATTAGCCGAAATACATTACCAAAAATGTAACAGAATGGAACACACCTAAGATTCTGAAGATGGTATTTAGGTTCTCCTTTGTAAATAACAAATGACGGATGGGCTGCTTGCTATTCCCATCGCATGTCCCATGGGACCACATGCCCATACCTGTCCACACGGAACCTGTTCCCGAATCGGTCTTACAGGCAATTACACCAGCCCATGAGGACTGTTGGACAAGAAAGTATAAGACATCTCAAAGCATTGATAAATTATGTATTCCTCGCCAATGCAGTAGCATTCATTGCTGAATCTTTAGGTAAACCCATAAATAAGAATTAATGCCAAGATGTTACGTACCATGCAGGGAGCTTTGTCTAGATTGTCTGTAATACAAATTTCATGGTCGGTGCAATTTTCAGTAGTGTGCAAAATTATCCCGAGTGAGAGGCGATCATCATCTTCAGACAAACCAGCAATGACACAAGAACTGTTTGGTTGTACATCCGGCAAACTGCAGGGAAATTTAAACAAGTTATATTCACTTTTCTGGTATTTAAAATAAATGGTTAATGGTTACAAAAAAATAAATGTGCAAAGTGTAAAGTAATGTAGCGATTTGCAAAAGGAGAAAGGCGTTTCAGGGCAATTAGACCAGTTTTAGGAAAAAATGTCAGGAAGGGGAGAGGGGTCACATGTTTAATCAGGGGGATTTGGAAGGGATAATCGCAAGTGAAGGGGGGTATGATGTGGCTGAATCGAGGGGGAGTGGGGGGGTTTTCTGTCACACCAACTTTGTCATTATATATACATTTTTATTTTCGGTTATATTAACTTATATATATATATATTTAAACCTTATGCTTTTTATTTCATGAAATATTAGTTTATATTAAAAGTAAAGGATTATGAAAAGAATCCTAATCATGTCACATGATACTTTTAAAGTAAAGGGGTTTTGTAAATATCTCTAAATACCCATGTTTCCTTATAGATTTTACAGGTTTCTATAATCTGAGCTATAATTAGTGGCTCCTGGCACTCTTGGCAGATATCATGATAGCATTCTGTTCATGTTAAAGCTTGTGATCCAGAAAAGATCTTCGATATTTCTCAGCTTATTAGATGTAATTTTCCATTGGTGTCTCATCTTCTGTCTTGGGGTTTCTGATCTGGGGCTTCAGGTCTGTGTGGAAGAAGTGAATCCAAAGCAGTGAGAAGGGAAGCAGCAGCTTTGGTCTTTGTCATTGCTAGCTTATTTCCAGAAATACCAACATGAGCTGGTAAAAAGCACAAGTCGATTTTTTTCCGTGACGATACAAGTATCAGCCAGTCCTAGATTTCTCTTACTTTCAACTTTCAGTGCACTGCTTTATATCACAAATTGGCGACTTTCAAATATGTAATCATTTTGACCACAGAAAGGATGGCATATAAATCTACAGGAAAGAATGATGTTGGAGGCAGGCTTCCAACACTTCCTCCACGTTTACTAATGGCGAAATATCCTACGCCATTTTCAAAATTCGAGCCATCAGTGTATATTTCTGTTGAGGTTCTGAATTTAGAGGCATATTCAAGAAATTTCTGCTTTTCTATAGTTTTGTACACAAGAGATTCAGGGTTTCTCTGCAATCTATGAGGATAGATGAAGTTCATATAATCACAATGAAATTCTATCTTTATATTTCACTTTCTGCATATAAAGACAGTATTGGTGATGACCGAAACGCACCTGTGCAAATTGTCAGTGCTTCATTGTCGATAGGGTTTAGTAGCAGGAGAATGGATGTGAAGCTTATGCTTCATGTTTCCCCACCATAGTCCAGCTTATTATCAGTGTTAAATAGTCTAGAAAGTGTTGTACAGTCAGCAACCCAGGATAGGAGAGAGAACATACATAAAATACCAAGTGCTTTGGTAGTCTTTGTCTTAAGCAGTTTGATGTGTGGTAGCCATGTTACCCTCGGGTCAAGTGTCACTCCTTAGGATCAAGCTTGATTATATTTGCCAACCAATTAAGATTCTAAGAAAAGGCGAGGATAAACGTTACTGGTACCTTTATGAAAATGCATAGCTACTGTTTTATTTTGGGAGAAATATAAACCTAAAGCCTGATTTATTGCAGTCTGTAGGCAGTTTTGTTCATCCAATACAATGCAAAGTCATCCACACACTGCACAAGAAATCTCTTCGTATAACATTTACAATGTCATTTATGACAATTGTAGACCATTTGGACACTTCCCCGTGGGACTTGTTCCTTCTGTTTTCTTTGTTTGACGGTACACTATCTGTACTCTTTATGAAGATGGACAGTGGTCCTCTTAAATCAGTAGAGCGGAGTTTAATAATTATGCCATGCTTCCCTGTTGTATTGTATGCCTTTGCTAAAAGGTGATGCCCCTGTGTGAAGGCATTCCTTATGGTTATTTCTAACAAGGGGATCCGTTGTCGATGTACTCTCGTAATTTCAGTTTGAATTACGAAAGAGGACTTGTTCTTTTTCTTAATATACCATGTAAAAAATTACCATCTCCAGTATATTATAAATGCAACTTGTCAAACATATATGTCTGATTTCATCTTTTAAAGGCTTAAGGAATGGTGGTATTAATGATTCTTTCCATAAAACTGGCATTGTTCCTTCCTGGTTTGATATCATTTACCTGGAGAGCATTTTGCATTTCCTTCCTAAATAATGGTGCAGTATATGGAGATTCCATCAAATTGTTTTCAAATGAGGGTGGTCTCCCTTGAAGCTGGCAAATCTCTTAAAATGACTTGCCCAAGTGATCTCAGCTATAGATTTAACAAGTACACTGGTAATTTGTTCACATCTAACAAGGATGATGTTGCCAATCTTCAGGGTTGGTAATGATACTGACATCGATTTCCCAGCAATCTTACGAATTTAGCTCCAGACTAGTGATAGGAACAGTGCATTAATGGATGATACATGTATTGCATTCATAACGTTGTAAAGGCTATTAAATGACCTTAAACATTTGTGAACATTAGTAGTAATAGGGAACGATGGCTTCGACTATTTACCTAGAGTACAAGCAACACAGTGATGGAACACGCGACTTCTGTGGGTTAAGGCGCGGAAAGGTCACGGCGGTCACAGCCCAGCGGGCCGGAAGTGATGGCGTGGGGGGCGACCGCGTGGCCAGACCTGGCGTGGGGGGCGACCGCGTGGCCAGACCTGGCGTGTGGGGGCGACCGCGTGGCCAGACCTGGCGTGTGGGGGCGACCGCGTGGCCAGACCTGGCGTGTGGGGGCGACCGCGTGGCCAGACCTGGCGTGGGGGGCGACCGCGTGGCCAGACCTGGCGTGGGGGGCGACCGCGTGGCCAGACCTGGTGTGGGGGGCGACCGCGTGGCCAGACCTGGCGTGGGGGGCGACCGCGTGGCCAGACCTGGCGTGGGGGGCGACCGCGTGGCCAGACATCGTGTGTCATCCTCCTTACCTCAGCACAGGAAAATGTATGTTTTTCTTTGACTTAAAATCTGCCTCAAACAATTCTTTTAACTTTTACCAACTAGAATAAATTCATTGTCTTGCAACTGGCACATTTAAAAGGTACTAAGTAGGTAACATAGGTATGATCTACACCATTTTTCAACATCAAATTTCTGGCATTTGAAACACCAAGAGATGGAGATGGAGCATGGGTCATATCCATTGCATACTAGGCTGCCTCTTCAGTCCATCGAAATGAAAATGCAAACTTGGCCTAAAACTTTCCCATCGCTCAAACATATCATAAAATAATCGATTACTTGCCATCCAATACCAACCATTTGCAGTGTTTGAAGAAGAGGGAACATGTGTAGGAGGACGATGGATTTCGACAGTTACTAGGAATGTAAAATGAATTGGAGCAGGGAGATTAGAGGATGGAAGAGGTGTAGACAAGTTATCTTGGTTCATGATTAAATAGTTTTGAATGCCTTCTGAAGTGGAGTTGATTGGGAAGGCTTGAGTTTTTTTCTTATGAGGGGGAGAAGAGGGGACAGACTTGAAGGGTGGAGGGAGAGGCAGATGTAGGCGAGGATACACTAGGAAATGGTGTGGAATGTTTAGCTTGTCTTGTATGTCGAGTTGGGCGAAGAGGAAGAGGGATAGGTATGATGAAACATTTTCGAAGGGGCAGATTGAAGGACCGTACTGATGGAATAAGAAAACCATCTGCATGCTCCCCGTCTGACCTCACAAAGCGAGGCTAAAACTGAATCCGAGAATTGCCACCTCGGACTCGAAACTTGTAGGTAGGGCTCTATAAAATGCATTATGTGAGCCACTCCTCTTCTAGCAATGCTAAAAGATGAGTGGCATTGCTAGAAGAGGAGTGTGTTGTCAAAGTAAGGGGTATTATGTAAGATCGTGAGTAGGGGAAATAAAAGTTGTGAGGGTGGAGCACTTAGGTGGACGATTTGAACTGGACTGAGGTGATTGCCCTGTCCTCAATGAGTACAGAGTCATGGTTAAAGAGCCTGGAGTCAGGGGATCAGGAAATGTTAAATCTGTGGGGTTAGTTGATAAAGGGGTGAGCCTCAATGCTCTTAAGGGTGCAAAGTCTCCATTACCCTAGGGTAAGCCTTGATTATGATGGGGGGAGAGTCAACCATTCAGGGTACCCTTGAGGGGTACAGGCAAGAGAACTATACAGGGGAAAACCATGCACGTTACTCCCCCCCGGCCGCACATGAACGCACAGTAAGTCTTTCATCCTTTTAAAATAGCTCTCACCTTAGGGAGTGGCTAAATGGGGTTGGAAAAGAGCGACTCGGAATGGTACAATCTCATCATCTTCCCTCCTTACTTACCTACCTCCCTTCCCCTCCCCCCCTCTCTCTCTGACACCTAACAGATAATGAAAAGCTGTAAAAGTAAGACCTCTGCTTATTTTTAAACTTACCTGTTTGGTAAACACAAATGATTTATATAATGTGATTTAGGCATCCTTTCCTGAAGGTGAAGTAGCATTATATCTGAAGTTGATACGGTCGTCTTGTAGTCCACGCGACGTTCATGTTCATAAGCACTCCACAGACGGGTTGGTTTCCCGGTTTTCCTCCAGGAGCCCATTACAACAGTCACCCGAGACTTGGTGAGGCTGGAACAATTAATATGGCGTTGTTAACTTTGTTTTCGGAATTTAACCCTATAAAATGTTATTGGCACGTAGGATCGACTTACTCAACTTGAGACATGCACTCAATTGAGGTCATAACCCAGGAAGGCTGGACAAGGGTAGCTCCACATTTATAGTGACCATTCACATAAACCGCTCCTGCCCATGGTACACCACCAAGCTTCCAGACAGGAATGTCCTGTGTGAACAAGAAGCGAGGAACAATCCCGCACAGTTCCTCACCACATCTAACTTCGCTCTGTAAAAAAGATACAATATAGGTGATTTTTTTGTGTGCACTTTTATGAACAATGAAAAAGTCACTCTTAAAGTCCACTGCCTTTACCTTACACCGATCTTTAGATCCTTTTTGTATGACATCCTGCAAGAGCCTTAGAAAGCCATGGCTTTCTGCCTGATCCCCATCGCTCTTGTCTGGCACCTCGGCTTCATCCCGCCAGTAAGGAAGTTCATCTCTCAGATTATCCGGAAAGTTGATTGTGCTTTGATTGGTACGTGGCCACCTCGTTTCGGTTTCATATAGAATGTTTATGGGCTCCGTTGTGTTATGGCTGGTTTCTATTGGGTCAGAACTAAAACACTTTGTAATTAATAATCATGTTGCACTTGAAAAGGTAAACGTGAATAATAATCAAGCGGAGACATGAATGCTGGAGTTCAATATGTCAAGGATTTTTTTTTTTTTTTTTTTTTTTAACTGTCGAGAAGTTACATTTGTTATATGTGCACACTTGCGCACGCGTACTCGTGTACACTAGCTCGGAAACTCACCTGTATCCGAGATACGGGCAGATTTCTTTAACCAATTCGGTACTAACACCTTCGAGACAAACTGGCCTCCATGAAGTGCCTTCTTTACGCATCAACATCCCAATTGGACTCCGCTGCTCTGACATGTCCAGCAACCCACTCAATGAAGGGGGGCGAGTTGCAGACACAAGGCCAACTAAAGCAGATGTGTAAGATTCTGTGCTGTATTATGCTCATAAATGTAATAAATCAACATTTTGGTTCAGGATA